AGTCTGTGTGGCATTGCTTCATGTTGCGTGGTCCGGCTTAAGCAAAGGATGCTTGGGCTGAACATGCGCAGTCGTAGCATGCTACAGCTAGCAGTGCAGAGCACGCTTACAAGGCATTGTCATTCCTTTGCGTAAAAAGAGTTAGGCCTCGCTGAGGGTTCATGGGATTTGGACCGCCCTGCTGGCCTTTATCATGAACATCCCTGATGGGGTTGAAAGCCAGGCTATGAGCCCAAATGCTCAGACTGCGTTGTTTGCAAGTACTGTGATGGAGGGCGAAACAGCAGGCCCCTTGTACGGGTCCGCTGAGCAAGGTGTTTCAGTAAGTGCTGTGAATGGTTCTGGAAATGTGGTGTTCAGTGCAAGTGATGGTGTAAAGCCGTCTTCTGTTTTCGTTGCACCGGCCGTGGACGGCGCGAGCGCATACACTACAGACAGCGTGCGTGCACCTATCACCACACAAACCACTGCAACCCAGCTCCAGCAGCAAGCAGCATCGGCAGCAGCCTGTGCAGAGAACACTGTGCTTCCTCCATTCAGTACACCTGCTGTGGCCACAGAGCATGTTGCACGTCAAGTTACTGTCGAAGGGGTGACGTTCTCCCCTCCTGAAGAGCTTCCACGCTTTGACAGTAACGCAGGCCCTAGCAGTTCAGCACCTAATGTCTGGTTCATGAGGTTGGGAGAGTTTTTGCAGCGACGAGTAAGCCAAGCTGGAGCTTCTTTGGTGACTCCTTTGATTGAAGCTCGAACGGCTGCCAGAGCAACTCCCCCTTCAAGAACCCCTCTGTCACCTCCCAGGAGCTGGCAAGATGGAGCTGGTCGTCAAGGACTTATGACTCCGGAGGCCGAGAGCGCAATGCAGCAATGGGAACGACGCTGGCGTAGACAGGGCCCGCTTTTGAACCCTTCTCCTCAACAACCTAGTGATTCCTCTACGGGTTCAATCACGCGGGAGCAAGTGCTGAATGAAGTGCAGAAGCAGGTGGCCACTGAGATGCAGGAGTTTCATAGACAACGTGAGGCTCTAGAGGCTGAGAATGTGAAGTTGAAGGCGTTGGTTGAGCAATTTGTTCATTCCGCCCAGCCCCGGCTACAGGGTCAAGTTGGTCAGCTGTATCAAGGAACCCATGAGGAACCTCAGGGAAGCGCCCCTCTACCCCAACAACAAGAAGCGCGCGTAGAAATTCCTCCTGGCCTTGATCAGGCATCTGGAATGCGACCAGATGAAGATCCTCTTCGACAACCTGGTGAAGGAAGGCGCCTGGGTGATGGTTTTGAAGTTCAGGGCGGTTCAAGAAGGCTGTTGGGTTCTCCTCCTAGTCTTCGAGAAGGTCCTGGTGTGTCTGGGGGCAATCTTGCTGGTCAGTATGGAGGTCGAAGCCATGAAGGCAGCAATCCTCTTGGAGTACCAGAGGGCCGAGATTCAGGCTTCAGAGCTGGTACCAGTGAGCCTCCGATTGACGTGGGGCAGTCAGAAGCTCCGAAAGCGCCGTCAGGCGCTTTAGACCCCCTTGGATTGTTGGTTCAGGGGGTGACGCAGCTCCAGACCGCAATGAAGGAGTCCTTGAGTTTGAAAGCCAGGGAGCCCGAGATCGTGAAACCTGGAGCCATAGATCTGCCTAAGCTCCCGGAAGTTTGTTAGCACTCAGCCACTGATATTGGTGACTGGCTGGGTTGTGGTGGCGTGAAATTATGACATGCCTCAAGGCCTACTACGAAGCATACACTCGAGCCTCCCATGTTGGGAAACTTGCTTTGCGTCCTGAGGACTATGAGTCGGCCGAGCTCAAGGATCAGAGATGGGCGCGTGTGGACAAGCGGGCAGCGCCATGCTTATGGCAAGCTTTTCCGATTCGGTAAAGGAGGAGCTTCTGGCCTCTCGTTTGAACGGCACCTTGGCCATTCTTGCTAGGGCGCTGGTTCTTTACCGTCCAGGCTCGGTGGTGGAGGGACAACAGGTGCTGGCTTCTTTGGAGTCTCCCCCGCCCATGCGGCAAATGCCAATGAGGCCGTGGCTTCCTTGAGAAAGTGGGGAAGGTGGATGTCCGGCTACAGAGGCCGGATCCGAGTGTCCTTTTGCGAGGACTTGATGGCTTGACAAAAAAGCCGCTGCTGGATCACCAGGACATCAGCTGCCGCATCAGTATGCTCAGGCACACGCTGGAGGTGGATACAAGGCCAACTGAGAAAGGGGTATGGGATCTCCATAACGCTCTCGTGTCTGAGTTTGAGCAGGTGGCCTATCTGGCACTCCCTTTGTGAAGGCAATCGATGGCGCTGGAACACCTGCCAGTACTAAACCAGCTGGAGAACCTAGCCCTGGTGGCTCACCTTCTCCAAAGGCCAAAGCCAAGGCAGGACTTCTTCCTTGCAAGTTCTTTCTCACAGATGCTGGATGTTCAAAGGGGGTCATGTACATGGTCGCATGCCTTCACCAGAAAGGAGAAGCAAGGAAGATGTTGGACCTGTGGCAGCCGACAACATCAGCAAGTTGGGTGTCCGGTGAAAGGGGATGGAGGAAGTCCTACTGCCAAGGCCAACGCGAAGGCCAGTGCTGCCAAGTCCTCCTCGTCAACTTCGGCAACAACAACTGTACCACCTAAGGCTGCACCGGCCCAGGCCAAGGCGGCGGTGGTAACATCGGTGTCTTCTTCCAGTGGTGGTGACTCAGGAACCGTGCCACCCGTGGAAGTTCCGGAATCCGACTTGAAGAACCTTCTGCAAGAGGCCAACGCTATGTTAAAGGAGATGCGGCAGTTAAAGATGTTGTCTTTGCGTTCAACAGAGGTTGAGAACATGGCGAGCTTTCACCATTGTAACCATCAAGATGGTCGCAGCGGGCTTTTGGACTCAGGTGCATCTCATGCCTTTCGAGTGGCCAGGGATGAAGAGGTTGAGGCCGCCGCCAAGGTTAAGGTCCAGCTTGCCAATGGTGCTGAGGTCACTTTGGCACAACACCGTAGAGGGACGCTGCTGGCGACCTCGGCTACTTCTGGTGAGGCTGTCCCTATAGTTCCTCTTGGCTCACTTGTACAAGACCTTGGATGTGATTTGACTTGGACTCGGCGCAGAGGCCTTGAGATCAAGCATCCCAATCATGGGGTCATCAAGCCTCGTGTGGTGGAAAATGTCCGTTGGTTGGTGAGGCCTGCGCCCTGGATCTAATTCGAGAGCTGGAGGAACTGAAGGTGGCAGAGCTTGAAATGGCAACTGCGCGGGCTGCCAACGCTATATGGTCTTGGGACTGTGAGCAGGACTGGGCTGCCCACCTTGAGTCCTTCCTGGCTCATGGAAGTCGTGGTTCCCAGCTGTTGGCTTTGAGTGCGAGCGATTCGCCCTTTCGAGCTTTGACTGATTCGCAGAGGGCTTCCTTGGCAGAAGAAATCCTTCTCACCGATAAGGCTGGCTGGGACTACTTGAAGGCATTTCCGGTCTCGAGACAGAAGAGAAAGAGGATGTTGGCGGCCAAATGGCCTACTCGGTCCGGGACAGTGCTAAGATGAGCGCAGAAGACGCAGCCTGTTTGAAGGAGATGGGTTTTGTGTGGTCGCCGCACTTAAGCCGTCCTGAAGTACTTGCTCCGGATGCTTCCTTGCGATCTATGCGGGTGGGTTTGTTGCGGCAGCCAAATCTACAGCATCAAGGGCAAGATCCA